GCATTAGAAAGATATAGGAAGAGTTGGGGGAAGAAACTATCCTCCTTGTTACACTTAAGATTTTTCTATGGTTTATATTATGTGTATATAACTATATATACCACAAATTTTGGTTTTTTTTTTTTTTTAAATTTTAATAAAGATATTAAGTTACACCATTAAATAAAATTTTAACTAATTTAATTATCCTTTCTTAGAGTATCTAATTTGTTCTCATATTTCAAATTCAATAATATTATAGTTACAATACTATGTAAAATTATAAATTTACTATTATAATGTGACATTATGTAAGTGTGATGTGATATTACGTGATATTACGTGATATTAGATAAGTAAATATACACAATATCACGAATGGATCTTTAAATAAAAGGAGTCCAATAACTCAATATGTAATGATATATCATATTATACGCTTACAACAACACATATTATATTGTCTGTATATAATATCACGTGGTATTATAATTATAACATTTTTGTTTCAAATTAATCTTCACTTTTTTTGCATTTTTAACTTCTCATATATATGCCACGTCCCTTTTCTCCAACTTAATCAACATTCGAGAAAATCTTATTGATGAAGCCTAAGATTCAGGCTTATTGCAACTCAAAAAACATAGCCTAGAACTATCAAAGCTTGCAAAAGTGCAAACTTCCTCACCAGACTGTTGGGGTTTATGCGCCAATCACTCTAGGCGAAATTGATAACCAATACCAAACCCTTTATCCACATAAACAATCTTAATTGCATAAGTTCAAAATTTATACTCTCAATTCATCAAACTTTCTCAAAGATCAACCCATCTCTAGAAATCTAGATAGACCAAATGGTGAACACATTCTTACTCAAAGACCACAAAAAAGAACACAAACAATATTTGATCTTCCAAAACCAAACCTCGAAGTAAACAAAATGCACTTGTTTCTTAAAGTGAACAATGACTTTATGTCATTTTCAAGTTATACATTTGTATAATGTTAGATTCATTCATGTTATTAAATCTGTGGGATTTTGGATGGATTTTTTTTTTTTTTTTAACCTGAAAAAAAATTTAGCTACATTACATTACAAAGAATCACTATGCAAATAAATTATGCAAAAGGTTTCTGTGTAAAGACCTATATTTGAATCATAATATCTGGGTTAATCTTTAGATAAACCCAAGCTTGATAAGCTTATTGGCAATTTATGTAATGAATGCACAACCTGCAACCTACCAACTTCTACTGCTATAATTGATCTCTCCGCTCGTTCTTCCTAGGGTTCTTCGCAGCTTCTGAAGATTCATCATCTTTCTGCTTATCCTTTTGGAACGAGAAGAAAGGATCCCATTCATGAGCTCCAACCTTCCGTTGTCCTTCATCTAACAAAACATACTTCCAACTGTACTCCTCCCTGAAGTTATCATATTCTGTATGACCTTCAACAATGTTCTTTCTCAACCTTGTGATTCTATCGATGACAGCTTTCACTGCAACATCAAAAGCATCCTCAATTGTCTCCAATTTCGAGCGAGGATCCGCATATATAATCCTTGGAATGAGGCTTATAACCGTCTCCCTCATGATCTTCACTTGCTCAGGAGATATTTGGCTAAGCCTCTCCTCTATGCTAACATTCCTACGGATATCATCTTCTGGGATGAACACTGAATATGTGGTGTAATTCTTTGGTAGGTGCCAAGTATACTGTATATATGCTGTACCAGGATGGAAGAAGACAGGAACACAACCTGCCAATATTGAGTCAAACGCAGAACGCCGTGTGTATGAATCTCCTTGAGGCTGTAGGCAAAAGGAGGAGCTCTGAAACATTTGCATAATACTTCTTGGAGAGTGACAATTGCTTTTCTCCCCTAAACCACATTCCAAGAACTTACACACCGTACAGTTCTTGCACTGATTGATGATTTGTGATCTTATTGATTCAGGCTTGTTAGGCCGTGGTGCACCAGCGAAAGAGAACAGCCACTTTCTCTCCAAGTTTCTCATCCGATCTTGCCATGTGAACACTTCAGCATCCTTTGCAGGATGGAAGTAGGTTGGATAAGGGATGGCGAAATCATTTGAATGCCAAGGGCTGGATTCAATCACTAGCATTGACATATTCCTCCCAGCTGGTAAGAGGAAAAGTTTGTTACCCCAATCAGTTTCTTCGTCAGAAAGTCTCCTGAAATCCCATGCAATCCTTCCTGCCACCAGAAAATGATCCTTCCCTCCCATAATACCCCACTCCGGCCTCTTCATCAGCCAATCAACCAAATCAAGGGAAGAAGCATCCCTCATCGAGATGTTGTACCCCCAAAGGTACCTTGCGATATCAAAACCAGCATAGAATGGAACAAAAATTGCGGCAGCAATTGAAGAATCATTAGTCAAGCACTTGTACTGCTTCATGCGATTACTGAATATCACATCCACTGCAAATTGATTAGTTGCATACCAACCAATATCCGAGAACACCCCCTCTACATTCTCCAGTGGAGGACCAAGGCCGGAATTAGTGATGAACTTACACATATCGGTCCAAAGACTTAAGCTCTTACAATCCTTGAGCATATCCTCATTAAACCTTGAGGGAAGATCATGCACATAGATGTACCTTCCCCCACATGGATCACTCTTGTTTTCAACAGTCCTCAATGCTCTCATAAATGGGTAAGTAACAGGTTTGAATGTGTCCCTTTTGCTGGAATGAGCAGGGGTGGACCCGTTGGCAGGGGAGGGTATAGTAGAAGGAGCGGTTTCAGGGGCAGGGGTTGACAAATTGTCAGGGGAGGGTAGATGAGAAGGAGGGGTGTCATGGGCAGGGGTTGACACATGTGTAGGAGTGAATGAAATGTTAACAAATTGACCATTATCTAATAGATTCACCAAGTCCTTACCTGAACTGCTCCTTAGAATCAGAAAATGGGAATACAATAAGAAAATCCAGAGAGAAACAGATAACACAGCTAAAAAACAGAGAATAGTCTTTTGATTTTTTAGGAAAACTTTCTTCATCAGTTCCAAAGCGACTCTCATAAAAAATCAGAAATCCCACCCAACAATCAATACATCCTACAAAACTCAAACCCAGAACCAAAAATCATATCTGACCATTGAAACAGAGATAAAAAAACAGAGCTTTTTACTTCAACTCTGAAACTCACCTACAGAGACTAAAAAGCTATCGAATCGAATGTAAACCAACAACAGAAAAATGAGATTCAGAGAAGAAAAGAGAGGATTTTTTTTTTTTTTTACGACCCACGATAAATCAGAGTTCAGTTATGAACTGAAAACAAATCTGCAGGGCTATAAATTATAAACAGAATGACTGATTGAATAAGAAAAATCTTAATTTGGAAAGATAACTTACTAGGATTTTTTGGATTTCAGCGGAGAAATTCAGAGAAAATTTTTGGACAGAGTTAGGAGGTGGGAAGGAGGAGGAGGCATCGAGGGAGGGAAAGCGCGGAGACTGCCTATGTGTAAGGGCGAAGGGAGAAGGAGACGGAAAACGATTTCGGAAAATTATTATTATTATTATTAATTACTTATAAATTTATATATTATTTAAATAATTTATTTTTTATTTATTTAAAATTTACAATTTTAAATAAATTTATTTATGTAATAATATATAAATTTTATATAAAAAATAACATAAAAAAATTATTCCTACGTTACCATTAAAATGAGACAAAGGAAGCTTGCGCTAATAAGGTTTCGGCGGGTATTTTGTCTAATGTAGGCATCCAGTGTGATAAGGACACGTAGGATTATGCGATGACGTGTTGAAATGTAGGGAGTGATGTTAGAATTTTGTAAAAGAATATATTATAGGAATAATTTTTTATATTATTTTTTATGTAATTTTTATATAATATTAAATAAATAAATATATTTAATATTATAAATTAACATAAATTAAAAAAAATAATTATTTAAATAATACATCATATTTATAAAAAATGATTTAAAAAATATTTCAATTTTTTTTTAAATCACGTTGTACGGAAGGTGGGGCCGGGAGAGTTCGGCTGGTAAAAGACGTAGAACATGTGGAAGGAAGTGGAGCCCAGTAAACGGACAGCCAATCGTAATCTAGGAAGGCTGCAATGGTGGGAATTTTTTTATAGTTTATTTGTGTTTGTTAATACTATGAGCAGATCCGGTTTTGCTATTGAACGAATTCTGAATATATATATATTTTTTAATTTCTTTTTGGCCATCACATAAACTGAACTAGGGCTTTGGAGTTGTTAAGGAAACACGTTGTACGGAGTAAAGTTTTATCTTACTAAATTTAGACAAATTAGATTTTATAATATATTAT